GGAAAGAGATTTCATATATATATATATATGCTAAATTATTTTGTTGTCTCTCTTTTATTTATATTATTCAATTTATCCTTTTATTTTTAAAAATTTTAATTTGGTCATCTAATTTTAAAAAAATATGTAATGTTATTCTTTTGTCTAATTTATCACTAATTTGGAAAGAAAGACAACATTAAACAAATAGAATCTGTACTATCCGTACCGCCACGCCGAGCTCGAGCTCGGCATTGCAGCGGAGAATGACCTCGGACGCGCATTGCACGACGTCAGCTTGGCACTTAAATAGATCATAACCGATCTCAGGGGATCTCACTCCAGATGAGATCCGTTATCTAATCATATCATATCTTATCTTAGGCCCAAGGCCCAACGCAACCTTAACTCACACTAAGGTACGTGCATTACTTATACGACACTCATACTCATACAAACCCTAACTTTAGCATCGGAGTCTCTTTTGCAGGTACCACCCCCGCATCTCGAAGCACCAGTGTACCAGTGAAGGAGGCTCACCTATCTTGCCCAACGAATCGTCCCTACGACCGATTTCCGGTAAGAACATTTGGCGCCCACCGTGGGGCCGATCAAGACAGCTCTTATCGGCCACGCTTATGGTTTGCACCAGAAGCCATAGCAGACGTGCAACAGACGACCTAGATCATCCATCTGCCATGGATAGCGAAGCAGCATTGACGAGGTTGATCGATCAGGTCGAACAGATGCGGCAACAACACGACGCCGATCTGCAGAACATGCGCGCCAAGCACGTAACCGACCTAGCCGCAATGCAGACCACTAATGAGGCTGACCTAGCGGCGCTACGCGCGGAAAACGAGCGGATTCGTGCCCAACTCCCTTGGCGACACTCTGATCATCCTCCTCACACGAGCAACCACAATGAGGAGGAGGAGCACTCAGTCTCTCAACCCCGGACCGCGACTAGGGCACCGACTCAACGACCTTCCACGCATCGGTCTCATGCACCGACGCACAAGTCGGGCCATGAAGTCAGCAAGGCCCCTACTCATGTCCCAGGGGATCAGGCAACCTTCCACCGCCACCCTTTTGTGGATGGCATCAGGGAGACACCCCTCCCTCCTGGGTGGAAGCCTCTCCACCTTGATCGCTATGATGGCACGACGGACCCAGATGAGCACATCGACTT